TGGTGTTTTATTTACTTGTGTCATAATAGCATTACTGCTGTGTTCATCTTGCATCCGCATTTTGAACAGTCTAGTCATTATCGCACAAAATCAGCCAATTTATTCTGAATATTTATCTTCTGTTTCAGATTTACTGAGGCGGTCTCTTTTGTCAGTCGCGTTACACTGATCATAGCATTTTACAGGCTGTTGCGTCTCAGCATGTCATTGTACAAGTACAAATAACTTTCTAACATGCAGGAAAAATCTTCCATTATATTATCAACAACATTTAACGCCGCAGGCTTTCAATCCCTTATACATGTTAAATTCATGGTTTGCTTATTTGACAGTGATCTTCACATAAAAAGGTTTCTTGATTGGTAACTAGTGGGAGTTGGCAGTGTTTGATAGGCACATTTAGCTGATGATATGAGGCCGCTTATGTAGTTGTATAAACGTATATTATGTCTTACACTGTACCTTTAAAAGCACATTAGCAAATCCAATTATAGCTCCTTATTTAACTCTGCATGAGACATTACTTTCCTACAAAGTATTTTTCTGTTAGTCTGTTGTGGACCTATAGGGCCCTCTACAGACCAACTGTGGTTGTGAAGGCTCTACACAGCTGCTTTTATTGAATACTGTTCATACAAAATATCCAGCATTTCCGTTATCTGTTCAAATTCATTCTAATGCAAACTTTGCTGTGATGTGGTCCATGTCTATTAATAACTTCCTCTTCACAGCTCACCACTAGCATAGAGCAGCAGGCCACTGAATCCAGTCTGTGTGAGAGAAACACCACTGCAGGATTCAGCACTCAGGGTAAAGACGGTTTAATTTTGTAGAGGATCTTCAAGTGTCTCTGTTTCTTGGTAGCTATGCTGATAATAACTTTCCCCTCATCCTCAGCCTCGGTGGACAGTGCATCACTGATGGTGTCCGAGGTGGCGGATCCGGACCAGACTTGCTCCTCAGAGGACTTGTGCTCCCTGGAGGTCCAGGGCTCTGACTCCTCTCCCTATGGCATGATCCACACTGCCCCTATGGAGGGAAGCTGCACCAGCCTGGAACTTTGTACACGTGACCATCGTGGGCTGTCTAACACTGACGCTCGGCCCAGTGATACAGGATACAGTGAGTCATCACACACCCATTCTCTGGAGCGCTCCCCAGACTGGTCATCGGAAAACTATAGCAATCTAGACCAGGAGGAAAACACACATCCTTGTGAGGATCTCCGGTCTGCAATGCACATATGCGACGAGCTTGCATCAGCCAAATATTTACCAGAGGAGCCACCGAAAGCGTCAACACACTCCCTCATTAAGGCACGAAGGATGAGCCGGAAGCTCACACTCCCCGTCACTCTCCCACAGCCGCCGCAGCCTTGCTCCCCAATCTCTGTGGCCTCCTCTGGGGGAACTTCAGCCATCAGTCCTATGGCTCCTTCTCTTTCCCCCTCCCCTCCCAGCAGGCCACGCAGTCACAGGCTGTGTTTCAGTGTTTGGTCATCCTCCACATCCCAGCCCCCCTCTACCTCCGCCCAAAGTGGCTCCTCACCCTCAGACAGGCCTCGGGGGCTCCGAGCAGCCAGGCGGTACCGAAAACTGGCACGCATAGTCCGCTCCACCAGTGACCCCATCTCCTGCTCCTCTACAACAGGAAGTGAGTTTGGCAAGAATTGTACAATTATACTGCTGATTAAATACTCCACCTCAATATAATAAGAATAATCAGCTTTTAAGAGCTTAAGTGATTAGTCATGTAATCTATCATGTATGAGTCATTTTTTAGGAAAACATCATTCGGTTTCAAATTCTCCAATGTGAGCATTTGCTGCATATTGCATAATTTTAAACCAACAATCACTGAGTTTTTGAAACTTCAAGAGTCATTATCTTGGAATCTGAAAGCTTGACATTTTATAGACTAAACAATGTATTAATCAAGCAGGAAACAAATTGGCATGTTTATTGATTATTGAATTAGTCATTAGTGGCAGCCCCACATGTGGCAGCCTCTCATTGTTAACAAGCAATAGTGGAATCTGTAACCACCGACAGCATACCTGCTTTGATGTGTCCACACTAAGTGTTTTGTCTCCCTCTACAGGTGAAAACACTGTTTGCATCTCTGCAAATAACCCTGAAGTTGAAGATTTAACTCACACACCACCAGAGCAAGGTACCATCATAAAAAACTGTGGCTTTGTGTGATGGTGGGACACCTGCTACTAAACAGCATTCACACCCTTTTTTGTAAAATATTTGGCAATATCTGGCAGTGTGAAGATCTAATTTAACAAACTTTATTAAAACGCATGTAAGTTATCATCATTTGGAAACCAACTTTGGGGATCTTTAGTTTTTTTTTTAGATAAGCTGAAGTATTAGTTATTTCTTAATTAAACTTATTAAACCCTATTATTGGATTATCTAAAAAAATGCATTATTGCACAGCTGAAAACAGAATAAGATCCTGATAAGATTATTCAGCTGATAATGAAAATGTGTCACGTCAATGAATTAAACAACTGTGATTTCACTTCACCCAAAGCACTTAATCCACCGGCATTGACCTTGCTTTTAATTTATTTAATGTTTTTCTTTCTTCCTGTTTTATCGACAGAGCCAACGGACGTTACAACAGGCGTAGTTGGAGCTAAACCCAGTCACATAAGCGTGAGGAAGCAGCAAAAGGAGGGGAAGAAAGTTGACTTCCCCCTTAAACCCCGCGGCATTCACACGCACTCCTCCCACGATCGCCCACACTCGCTGGCTGACTTTAAGATGTACAAAGAAACCAAAGTACTGGTGGCCAAATTCCTGGAGCACTCAAGCTGCAGTCTACCTCCTGAAGTCCAGCAGGTTGTCAACAACATCAAGTGTGTCATCAAGTCGGATGAAAAACACATGGAGGAGGCCATTTATAGTGCCAACGTCATAGATCAGGTAACTGATTTAGACAGCATGACAGCAGTTTGTGGGCCTGTTTATAGTTTTTTATTTGTTAGCAGTATAACTATATCAGATTAGCAGCCCTTTCAGATGGTATTGCTTGAATACATGCCAGAAAATGAACATGATAGATGGATTATTGCCCACATCTAAACTGTAACTGTTGTACACAGGATAATCTTTAATTTTTGAATTGTTGAGAAACTAACACAAAACAGACAAATGACAATGTGTTAATATCTTTATTTCTTGACTATGTGTTGTTACACAGGTGATGACCCAGCGCATCAATGGCAGTCCCAGGAAGCGCGGTCACGAGGATCTTCACCTGCAGAGCTGTGGTGCTTTGAGTTCGTCCCCTTCGATGCGCCGTCCTAAACATCTCCCACAAACAACCAGCGCCTCCACCAATCCACTGGACTGCTCTGAACAAAGCCTTGAGTGCAAAGAAACTATTCTCTGACCACTCTCCGAACAAGGACGATCAAAACTCTGAGGGCATTTCCGAGTGCTGGTGTTGCAGCCACGCTTTGCTGTGCAGCCGACATCTGTAGAGTAATGAAAAACTCTTCCTGCAGTGAAAGATCATTTATTTTCTTGTGTGTTCACAGGCAAACTGAAATGGTCTCATACTGTATCTCCTAGTGCCCTGTGAGACCGTGCCAAGTCATCAGCAGAAACGGTAGCAAACTCAGACTGAGCCTGCCAGTATCTGTAGTGGCTTCTTTCTCATCAGAAAAACAAAATAATGTTTCTCCCTCAGGGGATCTTTTCTACAGAGTTTCATCTCAAAAAGAGTTTCGAAAGCAAACACACAGCTGGAAAGTTTGTATCTGTGACTCAAAGAAAAGGGAGATTGTGTTTTCAGTATTCCTCTTGTCCTCATAAGAAACAGAAATAAATATGTTTGTAATAAACTGTGAACTGAATGGACTGGGCATTTCTAGCCATTTCTTTGCAGACTTTGTGGAACTGTTACTGATAGGGTGGTAAATATGTGTGGTGCAGCTGGTTAAAAAAACATCACAGATTGTGGATTATTTAACTTACCTCATTGTGTTACAATTCTTATCAGTGTTACAATAAAGTATGAGTTTGTATCTTGTGGTCTTATTTCAATTAACCTTTTTTATCGGTAGGATTCTGTTTGTCAGACTGTATTTGTCAGAATTATTGAATATCTGATTTCATCCACCAGAACTGACTAAAATAATACAAACAAAGGACCAAACACTATCATTTCCACAAATATCATTGTGGTGAAGCAAATAGGTGTTTTGTTCTGTAGTGATTGCAGAAGTACCTATATTTGCAATTGTTCTCATTGCAAATAGACCAAGTGACGATACAATATTAAGTTTGGCAACATTTCAATGAGGTTTTAAGGCGTGGAGAAAATCTAGATAGTCCGGTTTGAAATCACATAGCATTGGCACACCTGAATATTCCAGGTAATCAATGCATAATGCTTTTTAATGCCACTCAAAGAGAAACCACATTTAGTTATCACTTATTTCTTGTTAACAGGAGGGAATTGTTTGTGTTTACACGCTTAGTTTTTTCAGCCAATATCAACTGGTATAGTAAGGTATGTGCACTGGCCCACGTTTGAATGAATTACAAGTATTTATTTTAAGCAGACAATGATAACAAAACATTTAGTTTTCTAGACTGAAACGCAATACTTGCTAATCACAAATCTGGACCCTAATGTCATTATAACTTTAAGGTGTTCTTTCAGACAGCCATGTGCATCCGGTCTTTAGCCACCTCTACCAAACTAAAGAACTATTAGAAGCCCTTTCTGTCAGAAAAGTCCTTTGTTTCGACAACACAGGTTCAAGTTAATAGTTTGTTTTAAAATAAAGTGTACACATTAAGGCTGCGGTGTAAAAACTGGATCATATATGTCAAAGATAAAAGCATTACTATCAACAGACCAATTATGCCACGCGTCCTTTGTGCTGCTACCATGGCTGCTACATAGGACCTTTATTTTGAAATGTATTTAGTAGCAGAAACCGGAAATTGCGCAGGTGGATGGCTTCTAGCTTCACACAACGCATAAATCATGTTTGGTAGGCAGCAAAAGGTGGAGAGTCTGATACAAAGCCTGTGTCCTTAGTGATTGTCAGGATTTGGCTAAATATATTTCGAGGATTACACCCGTCTTCCGCAAGAAGAGACGACACTTTTGTGTGAGACAGGCGCTAATTAATGTTTTTTTTCGCATCAACCGTTGTTGCTAGCTAGTGTAAAGCGGTTAGCAGCGTTAACGTCAATAGGAGCTAACGTTAACGTCATATCGGTACCGACAATCATCACCGGTCCTATTTGACGGCGATTCTGTGATTAAAGGAGCTCCAAACCTCAGCGTATGCATCTTACAGTTTACAAGTGGGCAGCGTAAAATGATGAGCTTCAGCTAACCCAGCTAGCTGTTTGATTAGTGTTTGCTCTCCTCACTGCCACGGTGCCGAGTGTCCACGTCTAGTGTCGTCTGCTGTGTTGAACGGAGCCAGCTGAGCTAGGCCACGTCCCTGCGGGCGTATTTCATCTTCCCCACTGACATTGGACCCTTAACAGAGAAGATGCGTGTTTGCAGAAGGAGGAAGGAGTGTAACAAAACAGTAGATATGTGAAAAGTCTTGATCCTTCATGACTGTGTGTCTATGTAGTGTTTGCTTTTCCGAGCGGTTGCCGCATAAGCACGGCATGTCACGTAGACGGATGTGTTTTACAGACTACTCTCACTGAGTCTGCAGGCGGAAGTATCGTTACAATTTGTTTTTGAAATGGTTGGGTTTGGTGCAAACCGACGGGGAGGCCGCCTCCCGTCCTTCATCCTCATCTTCTTGATGGTGATCATCGCCATACTGTCTTTCAACTACTGGACAGTGTCCAACAAGCACGGCCACTTGCTGGACGAGCTGCTGGAGGTGCAGACGCAGGTGAAGCGCACGGACGCGGCGCGGAGCCGGCTGGAGAAGCGCAACTCGGAGCTGATGGTGCAGGTGGAGACGCACAGGAAGCAGATCGACCAGAAGGAGGTGGACTACAGCGTCCTGGAGGGAAAGCTGCAGGCCCGGGAGACTCTCATCAAAAAGTGCACTGATGAAAAGGTATAGTAACATTGTCTGATCCCAACCCTGGATTCATTTCATCCATATTTACTAGAATCTAGCATCAATGTATGTCTATATTTTGGGCATGACTGGTCGAAACAGTGGTGGAAGAAGTCCTTGAAACCTATAATTAAGTATTGGAGTAGAAGTACAACATAGTATACAACATAAAATACTTAAATAAACTAAGGTCATGTCCAAATTGTAATTGCACTACCTAGCTACATTCTATCAATGATACTGCTGTCTTACACTATTTCATTTAGGGGTGGAGGCATACTTTCTTAGATTAAACATTAATAGGGCTGTAAAAACACAGCAGCGCTATTGTTCATTACACTAAGCTAGTCAGTAAATAAAGAACACATAACTGTAAGGCAATAAGGAAAAGTTTATATTTCAATTCACATCACAACATTACAATAACCTAAATGTCATCAAGACACTAGGGGTAAATTATATTTCTGTGATCTTCCATCTCTATCAGATGCAGCATGTAAATGAAAACGTCTGTATTTGATGATGGATGAGGATCATTTTAATCTACTCTAAAGAGGCATGGTGATGGAGTCATTTTAAAGAAAGCAATGATGTGTCTCTATTAGTCTATGGTACCAAGTTTCAGATATTACATAAATGTCTCCTTCCTTAGAAACCAACAACTCATATCTCTCTCAAGTGTTTGGAAATCTATCCCATTTAGGTTTGAAGAAAAGGTGTAATGGTGTTGTTTCACCGCCTCTCAGCCATTTGTATAGTATCTAAGTTTGGCACGCTTGTTTGCTCCACAAGGATATTCCCACCTTTTGCCCTGTTTAGTGGACCAGCCAGCAATTCACTGTTTTGTGTCCCAGCACCCTCTGAACATCAGTGTGTGTCCAGTTGTCCTGGGAGACAATTAGAGCACAGATGGAGGGGTAGGGGGGGTCCTGTAATTTGCATTCAGTCTGACATGCTTATTTCTCATGACAAGCATACATTTGTTTAACCTATGGTAATCCTGTTTGTGGCGTAGCGTCATAGTCATACCTCATCCAATAGACATAAAGCAGGAGAATTTAGACATTTTGAGAAGAAACTCATTGTGGAAAAGGTTGGATCCTAATAGACAAATGTATGGCTACCCATTGATAAAGAGTGATGTGTAAACTCAATAAATGCTTGTGTATTTGCAAGGTACTCTGCCGGAGTATTTGGTTTGAGGAAGGCCATGAGTAGCAATTGGTTGTTTTGCTGACAAGCTGTCCTTGAGCACATGTAATCAGATTCCTCCTGTCTTTTAGAGTGGAGTTGGTTACTTTCTGAGTGATGCTGCTTATATTGGGACACATGCATGTTGTCAGTCTGATGGGGACATTTTTGATTCCGAATGGTTTTTCCTGCCAACCGTCACACAATGTTTGTGAGACTACTCCCATGTTCTGTTGCCAAAACAAATCGTCGCAAAACAACGGCCCTGTAACGGTTATCCTTCTTGTTATGTGGCACTGTATAATCATCTTCAAACTGACATCTTTTACTGACCACTGAATGTTTCTTTTCCCAATGTGTATTCATCATTTGTGACACCAAACTCCTCTTGGCAGCTAAATGTTTTGGCACTGTTGCACTGTTTGTGTAAGAGATTAACACAAATGTAGCCAGACTGGGTTTTGTCCTGTTGTTGAGGCGAGTAAAGATGGTGACGTGTGGAATAAAGAGAAGCCTATGCTCCCTCGGTTCTTGTTAGTAACTTTAGTATCCGGTTCCATGTTCCTGTAATCAAGATAAGGGTAGGGTTTGAGTTGCAGTTGTTCCACTCCTTTCTTTTGTCAACAGTCTAACCCTGTTTCAACACAGATCCTCATTACATACAGTGAGAGGCCTGCAATGCAGAGAAAACGGGGACAGTTGAGTCTTGAATGGCCTCTACACAGTACAGCAAATACAGCCTTGTGCCCATTGGATTAATGCAGGAAATACAGGAATGAATAATGCCAACCCTTTAGTTTATACAGTCTGTAAAGATTCGGGTCATGTTGTCTGTCTGTACAGGAAGCTGTTAAGGACTTTTTAGGAAGTGCCAGATGAAAGCTTTAGTCTTAACATCTCTTGACCTTCATGCTGTATTTACTGGCAGCTCTTTCCTTATTGCCTTCTGTTTCTGCAATTATAACTTAATATGACTGAATGTACTGCTTTTCTGTGGTGATTCCTCTCTTTATGCTCATCAAAGTTCATCTGTATTTTTGACAGAACAATAATTATTTTAACATCACAAATTCTGCAATATTTTGTGGACTTTTGATACTTTGTGTCTGGTATAAAACCTTTCACTATTGTGACATAAAAGTGGGGCCATTATTCAAGATAACCACAGGTTTTGAGTTTTTCAAAGGCGTACTCAAACTTTTTCAAACCTACCGGGATAGTTTGATACTCATGTGTTTGACTTTAGGTCCAAGGTCCAAGTTTTCCTCTCCTCTGTTTCCCTTCTTAACACCCGTACTGTTTGCCTTTATACAGCCGTGTATTTGATTAGATTAGAAGCATTTATTATCATTATACAAGTACAATGAGAAGAGTAAAGCTACTCCTTTTCAAGGTGCCTTTGCTAGACAAGTGTATTGGCTTTTATTACAGTGAACCAGGGTTTCTAGTTTCTGTTCTCTCAGTGTAAGTGAAGCGAGTAAAAAGGATCACAAACCAGTTTGTGCTACCAATTTCTGTGCTGTTTTCTACTAAGTATTTCTCAACATGAGATTGGCGCCCAGGCTTTTAATTACAGTCTAATACCCCATCCTGATTTTGATAAACAAAAGCACATTGCCTTGTAGCAGTAACTGCTTGTCACAGTGGTGCCATCTGTTTGTGCTGTGAGGTCTTGTTACACAGATAAACAAGACAAACCTGTTCCTCTTTGTTTTCTCCTGTGTTACTTGCTGCATAGTCTAATCATTATAGAACCTGTTGAACCATTTAGTCGTCTATGGCTTAGCAGGTACCTCCTTTCAGCTTTTGTTCTACCAGTTTAGGGTGCAATAGTGTTTATGAAGCACTCCTTTAGGTGATTAGACTTCTGAACACATGTTCTCTCTTCTGACAGATGAAGGTGCAGAGTGATGTCACAGCCCAAATGACAGAAATACAAAGGCAGAAAGGTGAGACTTTAGCTCTATCTGACCAGCAGAGGGCACTATAGTATCCAATGCCAAATCGGTGTCTTCAGAAAACATATTTTATTTAACACTCTAAAATAATGTGTATATGTGTTTGTGTGACTGCAAACAGAGCAGCTAAATGAGCTGAAGCAGGAGTTCATAAAACAGGAGGAGCAGCTCAGAGAAGTGAAGAAAAATAGCACTACCTTGGAAAGGAAACTGGAGTATGAGAGGTATGTTAAATCTGTATGTCATCCTTAATGATTGCCTTGGGTGTTTTTTCACTTATAAAAAAACCTTTGACATATCTACAGCACTTGAATTTGTGCTTATTATTATTATTATCCACTTCTATGACAAGTTGCTGGTTTTTGGATGAAATATTCAATGTAGTTTGCTGATAATAATGAATTGGTTATCTTAATTGACTATTTACTGTACGTGTGTTTCTGTAAGGCAGATCTACACTATACATTGGGTGTCATAAGGTTGTAGAAATGTATTTAGAAAATATATTTCTGCTCAGTTTTGAAAAAACGTGTTTCCCTGCTATTTGCACAAATTACTTTCATAATTTGGTGAAAGTATGTGTGTAAAACTAACGATGAATATTTGTTTGCTAGTTTACAGTGTGGGCGTCAGATTGCACAACTGAAAGAAGAGAATGAAGAAACAAAAAAGACCCTGGAAGAACAAACATCCAAGCTTAGACAGGTTAGTATTTATAAAACATCAGCAATCAAGAAAGGGACATAATGGTGGAAGGCTGTGGCCCTCTGCTCTTCAGCACTGAAGCATTTATAATATCTAACTGTACATCAATCTAAAGCTCCCTTATTTAATTATTCAGAGTGTAATGGACGACCAAAAGGGTGCAGGGGCAGGAAGACACACAGATGGAGCACCCGGGGAGGCGATGGTTGGAGAGCGCCATACAGTGGCCACTCACCGGCATGACAGTCCAGTTTTAAAAGGTACAAAGGAAGTGATGTGTCAACCAAAGCTTAAACTGTGTTTATTGATTTTCCTTTTATTCCTTTGCACTTACAAGATAAATGTAGTACTTTTTTGATTTTGTTGATATCATACCCACACTCTGTTTGTTTCCTGTGGTTGGCAATCCTTTTTTTATGCAACTATTTAATGAGGAATAACTGAAGTCCCATTCCCTGTGCTCTGTTACAGAAGATATGGGTAAGCCTGGCAGTGATGCTGGTATGCCTGGTATTGAAGACAGTGAGGTGGGAAAGATCGACGATGTGCAATTTGGTAAGCCTTCTTTTAAGAGGACATTTTTAAGGCAGTAAAATATAAATTAAGATTATTGTTTAAGTTTTTAGCTATTTTAATAATAATAAACCATATAAAGGTAAAAATAAAGGAGAATTGTACGCTTTAATGATAAGATAACATAACACAAACATAATTTCAAAAAATCAAAAACATTCAAAGTAAATTAAGTGCAGTGAATTTTCTAGTCCTAAATTCGTCAGGTAAACTATTCCAAAGAAATATGTGAAAGAATCAGCAAATTAAAAAGTAGTTTACAGGTAAGAAAAATGTCAAATTGAAACAAAAACTGGGTCCACTCCATTGTATGACACTAAGTGTGGTATCTTAAGTATATTTGATTTCCCAAGATTCACACTTTGTCTCCCAATTGATCCACAGCCTTGAAGAAGCCAGCCATCACTCAGAAGCACGATGAGGCCCCTGATATGGTGGTGGGAGCTGGTGCGGGACCTGGAGTCGGGGCAGCTGATGGCCCCGGGGGCCAGGGCCTGTCTCTGGATCAGCCCGGGCTGCAGCAGGACCGAGTGGAGGCTCGAGCAGTGATTGAAATTCCCAGTATCATCAAACAGGCAGACAAACCCATAGTGTTTGAAGAGGACAACAAGGCTGTCATCAAGGCAGACGAACTAGGAGAACAGCAAAAACAAATGCATGGTACAGAATGCGTCACATCTATATCATTGGTTTTAATTACAGATGTCATTTTTTACCCATGACCCCGATCTGAGTCATTTAATATGAGTATCTGCCGAGGTCCGGGTTTTATCTTTGTACATTTTTATAGATTTTTCCCAGTCTTGTGTAAAATTCAGGTGCCATATTAAAGAACACAAATAGAGTAGTTTTGCTACATTGTGTTTTATGAATGACAGGTTATAAAACAGGCAATAGTTTGCCCTTGATTGGGGGAAACTAGCTGTGCTGTAGCTCAGATTTAGTTAAAGCATGTAAGGTGGTGGTTTACAACAGATCGTCCGCACAGCAAATCCTAACCGTGTTTCTTATTGTCAGCTCCTGATAATGTCAAAGGGGACAGCGAACACTTGAAGGGGATCCCTCTGCCTCCTAACCCAGTGCAGGTGCCCAACCCCCTCCAGCCTCACCACACCAAAGACCAGGTTCCAGCAGAGCCGGTGCGCCACCGCCAAAGTGAGTTCCTCCTCCACACTTTCAAAAAGAAAAATCATTTGCAAGGGAATTCGGGGTTGGAGAGAAGTTATTTTTTATTTGAAAGGTATGGGAGAAATGCAATACACAAGGAACTGTACATTTCTGTTAGCTATGCCTTTGTGCTTAGCTGCTGCCTCCCAGCTCTCTGTGATGTGTGCCAACGCAGAGGGTGAAATACAACTTTGAGTCATGCTGTCTGTGTGAATTATGCCCATTACTAACTGGTTCCACCCCCACTTCTACATAACAGATTTTCATGAAAGTCAGTTGTAAGTCATGTCATGTAAGTCATGTCTGAGAATGGCTAGGAGCTCTGTCAGGGAGGAGAGAGGGCTCAGTTGCAGAGGAGAGGAGACAAATCACACACACCTGGCTCCCAGATGATCCTTTCCTGCTGCCTGGCTTCTGCTCTGCTCTGCTGCCTTCTCTCCCTCCTCCTCCTCCTCTTCCTCTGTTTTCATATGCTCTATGCTTTCATCTCCCTTACACCTCACCTTCTGTACCTCTGCTGCTTAAAACACTGACTGCATTCAGTTCACACGTTCATTTTATTTTTCTTCTAATCTTCCGCCTCTGATTTCATTATACTTGCATCCTGTTATGACAAATTAACAGCGACACCCACCAGATGTCTCATTTTTGGCAGTGTCTGGTGCTCACTAGACAGGCGCAGCTCAAAGAGTGCCTGGCTCAGAGAATCTCGAGTCCCTGCCAGTCCTGTCGTGATCAGAGGTGCCATCTGAAATCAGAGAGGAACACAAACTGCCTCTGATGCCTGTGTCATTATAGATCAGAAGGCAAAACACTCTTTGTTTGTCCATATTTAATGATCAGTTTTTCTACTTTTGGCAATTTATACAGCATTTGAATCACGTTTTGGAAATTATAAGAACTATTATCATTTTCCAACCATTACAGTTTAAATTTTAAACCAGCTTCTGTATCTGAAGCTGTATCAAATCGATCTTTTTCTATTTTATTCTTGGAGATCTGCACACTATAAATGCAGTTCAATAAAAAAATCACACTTGCTGTACCTTGTTACCTTGAGTTGAATCCACACTTCCTCACAGTACCAACAAAATTAAACATTAGATTGGATTTACAGCATATGTATGTGATTGATTGCATCGTAAAGATGGTTCAATCAGTAACTCAATCAGTGCTTGGTACTCTCTAGACTTTACACAGTCCCTCATTACAAAGGGAACCCCATTTGTTTCCACTCACTCTGCTTTCTAGTCCATGGTTTACTCTGCTTTACTCTTCAGGAACACTTGTCTTCTTACTCACCTTGTGTCCATGCACCTCCTCATCTTTGTCATCCTCTTCATGCGTTCACTTATTCCTTCATGCATTCATTATGCAATATTTCATCCATTCCTCGCTGTCTTCCTACAACTGCCGCCGCTTCCCTCCCTTCCTGATGAGGCCCTTCTCTGCCTCCTGCAGGCCGGTTCTTTGATGAGAACGAGTCCCCAGTAGATCCGCAACACGGCTCTAAGCTAGCGGACTACAATGGGGATGATGGGAACGTTGGTGAGTATGAGGCCGACAAGCAGGCCGAGCTGGCCTACAATGAGGAAGAGGATGGTGATGGTGGGGAGGAAGACGTTCAAGGTGAGCCAGGCCGGGGGACCGGACTGCCTGTCCAGATGTGTATCCACCATTCCTCCCTTGCTACCTCCCTCCACCCCTCTCCTGCTGCCGCCCCATGCATTTGTCTCAACAGTTAGAGTAGCTCACAGTACCCTGAGTTTGGTCCATGAATCAGTCATAAACTCCAGATATTTAAGAATTACGACCTAAACAACAAAACTGCCATGTATGCAGACATTGTTTATTGTGTAAGCCCAGTACAATCTGAGCACCATGTAGAGGGAAACTTGTGGTTCTGTGAGAGCAATTCAATGTCCATCTAGTATTTTTCTCTCCTGCCTGTGCTTCTTTTTAGCTATACCACCTGTCTGTGCCCACCACACATCTGACCCACATCTAGAGCAGTAGATAAATATAGCTCACTGTGTTTGTGAATGTGTCTGTGTTCTCCTTGAAACATTGAAATGCATGTCCATGCTTTTATTTTTGTTGTTATTGTTTCCTACCATAACATTCTGATTGCCTTTTTAGATTACATTTTTATTATTTAATTAGATTGCATTTGGATACTATTTGTTATCTTTAATGGCTATGATTCTTGTTACATGTTATATCTGATTTATATTTATTTTAGATAAATGCATGGTTGCAAAATCAGCTGAATCATGTACAAAAAGGGTTGCAAGTCATCTATGGGAGTTTCAATTCAAACCCACTGTATAAAGTACATCTAAACAATGAAAACATAAATCTTGACACTTGTGACCCAAGTGCATTGTATGTGACCATTTATTTTATGGATGTTTACTGTATTAGTTAAAGTTTGTATTCTATTGATGTGATTGGACTGAAAGGGAAGACATTGTTAAGATAATCCACTTAGCTTTATGCATCTTATTTTACAATGGAGTATGGTTTCAGCACTTCGTTAAGTGTATTGTTTATTATTTCATCTCTAATGCTTGTGTTGCTTTCTTTTTTCCTAGATGATGAAGATAGAGACATGCAAGGAGACCGGGCTGTGGATTATGGGAAAAGACATCAAGCCATTGACATTCTTTGAATGGGAAATCATTCAGCTGAAACTCATTACAAATATTCAGACAGTCTTCTACACGTTCTTGAGGAAACAGTTTGAACATCAATATGTTTAAGAATTTATAGGATGCATCTTCAATGTCACAGACTATCATAAAAACAGACATTGCAACTAATGAATTAATTCTAAATAACATACTATAATACAAAGAAAAAAATCATGGCACTGTCCGGAGATGGTGATTTGCTAATGGTTCTAAGTTATGGCAGAAGGGATGATATACTGTACACTGACTGTTGAGTTTGTGATTTGATAACTGCCATAGTTCATACAAAGTGATCTGGAAGAGCCCACAGCTGAACTTCTAAGGTTGAACTGGGTTTTGTTTTTGCTGTTTCTTTCAGGTTGCTGTTGCTTGATAAAAACAAACTCTTCACCTGAGATGTTTATCAAAGAGACTAATACGACATTCTGCCTTTCTAACATAATTTTGGGAATTTTACATGGAAGATCTTTTTTTTGTTTGTAGAGTGGGAATGCATTGCAAATGCCAAGGACTTTGCTTAAGGCCTATTAAATCAATTACGTTTCTTTGTGACAGACACTTGAAAGTGATCCTTGTTCTGTTTTTTTTATGATGCCATTGCATGCATATGAAAGTTGTTTTGAATAATAATCAAACTGAGCAAAATACTGATGCTTAAGCAATACTTAGAGCGTTGTTAGTATCCTCCAGTGTGCAAAGTTTAAACAAGCACATATAGTACTGACATACTGTACACATGCTTCCATTCATGAGGTCTCTTGTACATAATGTAGTTCAACTGTTACCATTTGTACTGAGGAAAACCTAATTACTCACCTTTTAGGGAAATTTGTGAACATGAAAACAGTTTGTGCAGCCAGAAAAAAGTGATTTCTCATGGAAAGGCACATTGAATGTAATTTTATTTTATTAAAGTTGATGCTTCGTGTCATTTTCCCTTGTGATATTGCTTTAAAGTCAATTGAGATGTAGAAATGAGTTTGTCATCGGTAGTGATTGGATTACTCAGGTGATACGGCTATGTAATTTGGGTCAGCTGTTTTCTAATTGCAAAGGTGGATGTTTAGCACCTGAATATTTAGTTCATAAGTGTAATGCGCTTTTCTTGTTCATTGATGATAAAAACACATGTTGATATGTTCAGCAAGAAACCCATAAATATCCGATCGATTGTTGACATTATTCATTTACTAGCATGCAGACGGGCAGTGAAATCAAAGCTGTGAGAAGAAAAGGCGAGTGGTAGTGTTCCGTTCGCTGCAGACTGGCTGGTGTTTTTCAGAGGTAAGGGGGTGTGTCTGTGTCCCATACGGGTATCTGCCTTGGAGAGACTGAGCAGAGGCGGGAAATGGCGCCTGGTAACACAACGATTTGTCGTTTCGGAGACGGTCCTTGAGTAGATGTACAGAAAAAGTCTGATGAGAGCACGAAAACAACACGGCTTCTGTTGTGATGGTTAATCGGTGTTGAATTCTCATCGCCAGACACTGCGGATCACTTAAAGTAAGTCGGTAACGTTAAGCCTTGTTCGATCATTTGTCTTTTTGGCTTGTGGTTTGTGTAATGTTGGCAAACGACAGGATAAATAGTTTCCCTCCCTGCCTATGTACATCTGTTAGCCCGAAGCAGTTTTTCAAAAAGCCTATGTAGGGCTAACGCTAAGCTAGCGGTGCTAAGCTAACTACAGCTAAGCTAAAACACGGCCTACATCGGAACTGACATATTCCTGGCGGACTCAAAATCTCAGTTTGGACTCCTTCTTTTAAATGAATGTTATTCGTCAAAGAATAGCGATGTCAGAATATGAACTATTACTCTTTTAATCCGTTAAAACAAACTAACAGTAAGGTAACCGGACGGAGCGTCAGGGTTGGTTAGCTTCGTGGAGGCTAACGCAGTCCAATGGCATTCCACAACTGAGCTGTGCTAACGTCAGTTAGCCAACACAGTCTTATCCTATTTTTTTAAAGGGTGTTGAGTTAGGCATGTTTGTGTACCACAATTTATGAATAACGCCCCACGACTGCAGCATTGGCTCAAGATTACGTCGACGGTATTCAAAAGATAATTTGGTTACAATGTCAGTTAGCTGTTTTGATTAATGATGTCTGACGAGTTCCCAAATAAATCTAAGCTTGACCCTGTAAATATCTCCAGTAGACAGTCGAGTCAACCCCAGAAGCGAACCAAACACAAGCGAGCCGACTAATGTATCTTACTTTCGTTACAGTATTAATATTATTTGTAACAATTTAGGATGCCGCACTGGCTTGCTAACGGTAAGTTAGCCTATTTGGGCTCGCCTTGTTGAACCGCTACCTGGTGCCGAGCTGTTTTAACCTCTCACATTACCTGTAGATGTCACTTGTGCAATCTGGTGATGGTAAATTAAACTGTTTGTATACAAAGGTCTATTGTGAACATGTATGACTCCTGACTCTTTAGTTTAGGTAGTGTAGCTTAATCGAGCTAGCTGCTCAATTAGCTGCAAATCTTGATAGTCGTAATGCTTTGGTGCAAACGCTGATTTGTGTGTATGAATGAGGCAACTGGACCAATGTCATTGTTTTCCCAGTTAAAGTTGGTCTGAATTGTTTAGCCACTTTCAATCTTAGCTCGTAGTAATTTCTGTAACGGGTTGTCCAACAAGAGGCCCTGTTTGTTTCTCATCGCTAGCTCGTTCATACAGTGACGGTGGCATGTTCCTATTTCCCGCTCACTTACTCGTACCAACCTAGCTGTGTACATGGAGCTTCGTTGGGGGATGACATCCTACAGAGGTGGATTTTAAGCAGCCTTGTTGTTGGTGCATGCAAGCATATAGTAGGCTGAAAATAGCAAGTCTGTTATTTTTATTTTGCAAATACAGGAAAACCTTAAGTACATACTGATATTAGCAATGTGTACGAACAGGAAATGGGAGAGAAAAGACTAAGAGTAACATTCAGTGCATATAATACACAATGTTCTAGTGTTTCCAGTATCAACCTCTGTACACATGTGTAGATGTTGTTTGTTTTAATTTGATCAGATTACCAGATACCTGTTTGCCACATTTGTCAGTTTTGACTCATCCAGAGAAATCTGTTGACACAAGAGTCTGATTAATTACAATTTGAACTTTTGATGAAACAATTACAAAAGCTAATGTGATCAAGAGGAGTTTAAACAAATACTGATTAAGGACAACTGGTGTAATAATGTAATGTAATGTAATAAAAACACAATGAATAAATATCCTTGAAATGGTTTGTTTTGAACCAACCATGCACTGTTTGCATTTTCAGTGTATCTCTTTTTAAAACAAGAAAATGTAAAAAATAATTTTTAGATTGTTCAACTCACTGCATGCCTTTTACCATATATTCTGATGCGGTTAATGTGAATTTGTGCATGCACACAGTACATACAATTCTGGTGTGTTCATGGATACACCCCTTTGTAAATGTAAAGCAGATGTAGTAACGGACATTTACAGTATTTTAGATTTACAGTATGTATTGAGAGGGTGCTATTGTGTGTTTAGGGAAGCTGACAGGTTGTTGATATGTCCAGACACATTTTCAGCCAGCTGCTGTTACATAACCTTAAGAGGCTGGCATGCTTGACTGACAGACAATTCATGTTCACTGTGAATTGTTTTTAGTTTTCCATCGGCATGCACTTGAGGACACCGTTGACCGATATAAATCCCTCAGCTTTAGTGAGTAAGGAGCGTATTCCCTTTTTTAGATAGATTTCATCTTAAAACAACGTTGTCCATGTTCACAATTCTTCCACTATTGACTGTATTTTCGTTTCTCGACTTCAACATAGGTCTTCCATGTAGCTATTTCATTTTAAGTGTGTGTGGGTAGTAGTGTGTTTTTGGGCAATGTTTTTTTTTTTTTTTTTTTACTGTACGGATGGAAGTAAAGCCAGCTGTGGCTGCAGTGATCCACTGTGATGTAAGTGAAATGGGATCTTGAGTGCATCCAGATGTTAGCAGGAAAATCCACCAGTATTCCACCACTACTGATAGATACACTCCACAGAAATATTAATTCTAGAAGCTCAAACAGTTGAGACCGAGAAACTGTGTTTCCTTGACTGCAATGTCATTGTGGTTTCCTTTTTTCTTTCCCCCGTTTCTGACTTTCTTCTTTTTTTTTTTAAACAGCCTTACATGTGACTGCTCAAACAATGAGGCTGAGAATGCGTAAGGCGTCTCAGCAGTCGAACCCCAGTCTGGAGAGCCGCCCGTCTCGTACCAAGCGGAAGCATTCAGAGGTAGAAGAGGATCCTCCTACTCCCACCAGTGGAGGGAGGGGCATTTTCTCCACCATCAAGAAGTTCATCAGAGGAAATGCTGTTAAGGTAACCACCTCGCTGATAACATCAAATGACCCTGCTTTTAAATTGACTTCAATGCAAATATGAGTGTCTGTTTTTTTCTGGGAGCATTGGGGGATATTTGTTGCTGTGTTTGGTTTTAAAAGTGCTGCCTTTTTTGGGACTTTGTTTTAAAACTGTATTTAGCACCATGTTCTCCTGGTGGCTGAGTTAAATACCGTGTTTCTTGGTACATAGTGTCATGTTTCCAGAGAAATGTCTGGAGGAATGCAGCAGCTTGTCTGAGAACCCGGACTCGGTTCTAATTTTAGCTTCTTGCTCGCAGTCAGTGTGCAGGAACAAGTGAAAAAGTAAACTACCAAAAACAGACTTTTCCTCTGGATAGAGAATCGGAGTTTTTAGTGTTTTTAAATGAAATTTTTATTTCATGGTCCTCCCTGCTTATTAGGTCATCATTTAGGCATATTGCTGTTGATGCTTTATTGTCTCTTTATTCATTGTTAAATAATAAACAAGCTGAATAAAACAAATGTTTGACTATTTATCTAATGGTCTCTATAGTTAATAATAGTATAGTGTAAATGCAGGTTCATTGTATGTCACACCATGCCAGATGTTTATAATTATAAACAGGAAGAAGCAACACTCACTGTTTGAAAATGCAAACCGTGTTTTTGGGGAACTTTTGATTGGTTGATGGTAGCCATAGTTAATAGCATCAGTTCGATTTTGAGATTTTGACACACGATTGGTGACCAGATTTCAGCACATATCCCTCACTGTCTGTTTCACCGGAGACAGCCATGCCTGTTATTTATTTAATTACAACTATCTAACAATATGAGGTTTGTCTTCTCAAGGTGCAGCAGGAGAGCCCAGCCAAGAAGACACGCCTCCACTGCGATGTGGACAATAACCTGATCTCCTCCACAACCCCTGACTCCAACACCCCCCGCAGGACTATCGCCAGGAGAGGCTCCCTCAATGGACGTGAGTGGCACTCAATCAGAGAAAATTATGATTTCCTCGTATTTATGTTTCACTTGTCTCTGTTAACGCTCTCATATTTTAATTCCTCCTCTGCAGAGGCAACCAATCATGACAGGAGTAAGGAGAAGCCCAACGGCAGTCTGGAGGAGACGACGGCCGTTGAGTTGCCAGTCACCAGCCCCCCCAGAAGCACCCTTCTTGGGACCATCTTCTCCCCTGTTTTCAACTTCTTCTCACCAGCTAAAAATGGTAAGCAGACCCTAAGGTAGCCTGTTCGATTCATGACAGGCATTATGCGCAAACCTAAAGTTTATCTGTACTCAAATGTTTTCATGCTTATGTTACAGACAGGCCATGTATTCAGTGTCAGTTAGAGAGATATGTAAGAATGTCATATCACAGTATTTCTGATTAAAAATAAATACAAAATCTCTATTATTATTGCTTCATAATTATAGGGTTGACTATTGTTGCTTTCACAAGATATTTAAAGGATATATTTTATGGATGAATGATCATTTGTGATGGGTATATGACTAAGTGGGTAAAGGTAAATAATAGAACAGTCTGGTACATTTAGAAAATGATATCTCTTTACTGTAATACTGCCTTTAAACAAGGGAAAGACATGTAATCCAATGTTATGATATCAAACATCTCTTGTCTCGTATCACAATATTGATATAATATCACAATTATCAGTTATGTCAGGATGGTACTCAGTATTGTGTTTTTGTGTTTCAGCCTCCTCTGGCTCAGACTCTCCGGACCAGGCATTGGAGGCAGAGGAGATCGTCAAGCAGCTGGACATAGAGCAGGCAGTGGAGGTGCCCACCAGCACAGCCACATCCACACAGGAGCTGTGTGCCCCCACCAACTACTACTCCAGTGTATCACAGCTTCCACCTATGCGACCTCAGCACATCCCAGAGCTAACTCCCACAGAGGGGGAAGGAGAGCTCTGTGCTGACGCCGACCTTCCACCCCTCACAGGTAGATATGGCAGCTAAGAACAGATGTTTCTGAAATAGAGTTTTAATTCATGTTGACGTTATAGTATCTTGCGTTATTGTATTCCTGTTACTCGTCGTGCTCTTTTAACATTCGGTTTGTGTTGTGGTTCCAGCTCCGGGCTCCAGTCCAGAAATGACATATGTGGACGCTCCTCCTGCCGCTGTCCCTCAAGAGGCAACCTATGAGGAAGACTGGGAAGTGTTTGACCCGTAAGTAAACAACTGCAGTCTTAAACGTTTCGTCGTGTAGTCACACTCTATTGAACAGAATTCACAAAAAAACAGAATAACAATATTTGGAAAGTAAGGGGTCGTGGGATTTTTCATCAAGCAAGAGGGATGAGCAAAGGGGAAAAGGTGAGCTGTTTGATTTGACAAAGTCCAGACTATGATTAAGTCAAATGTATCCAGAGCTCCAAGCTGACCCTTTCACCCACAACAACCCCAAACAACCAGCAGCAGAACTCCCAATGTTTGATCTGACAACGTTTTTCCACATGTTATAGTTTGCTATTAATATGAATGATCACAGTAACTAATGAAGTCTGTGTGATGTTTTTGATTTGTAGGTATTTCTTCATCAAGCACGTGCCTCCACTGACCGAGGAGCAGCTCACTCGTAAGCCCGCCTTACCTCTGAAGACGCGCAGCACGCCTGAATTCTCTCTGGTCCTAGACCTGGTCAGTTATACAAAAACACATTTGTTTGTTTTTCAAGTTTATTAAAACTTTGTTAAAGTTTCCTTGTATTCTCTCTGTTGTGTCCGTTAGGATGAGACGTTGGTTCACTGCAGTTTAAATGAGCTGGAGGACGCAGCACTTACCTTCCCTGTCCTCTTTCAAGATGTCATTTACCAGGCAAGTTCACTCGCTCTGTTTATCTTTAGGATGCCACTAGAGGGGGATAAAATGTAATTTAAAAAAACTTGCAAAATAGAAAAACTTGTCATACACTTCGATAACTGTCAAATTCAATAGACACACCAAAATGACAATTCCTATTAACGGATTTTGACTTGCAATAAACTGTGTCTGTGTTTATCATACATATTTGCTTACTTGTTATTTGCTGTGTGCAGGTGTATGTGCGCCTGAGGCCGTTCTTTAGAGAGTTTCTGGAACGCATGTCTCAAATCTATGAGGTAACTATAATCCGACGACTCCTATTGAGTTATTAATCCTATAAACGCATCAGATTTAAAACATATGTGACCTTTTTTATAATTGACTTTCTTCCTTTCCTAGATCATCCTTTTCACAGCCTCTAAAAAGGTCTATGCAGACAAACTGCTCAACATCCTGGATCCTAAAAAGCAGCTTGTGAGGTACGGTGTGTTTTTATATTCTGTTATATAACTGCACACCTAACTGAAAGCTTGATGCAGGCTGAATGAGCCGGGGTTGGCATGTGCTGCCGTTGAGGTGTCAGTGTTGTGGTTTTCTGAATTATTGATAGCTTTGACCTTGTCACTGATTGATCTTTCTCTCTCTCTACTGTAACTGTAGACACCGGTTGTTTCGGGAGCATTGTGTCTGTGTCCAGGGAAACTACATCAAGGACCTCAACATCCTGGGCAGAGATCTGTCAAAGACCATCATCATCGACAATTCACCGCAAGCCTTTGCATATCAGGTGAACACTTAAACAAATAAAACACTAGAGGTTCTGCGTTCTCTGGTTACTGACGAGTATCTGCCATTGTCACCAAAGTCGAACAAAGGAAAATAATAGACGATGAGGACTGCATTAAAACCAGAACTTAGCTTTAATTTTTGTAATGAAAAAGCTTAATGCTGGCTGAAACCTACATTATAATTTCATGATTATAAATAACTGATCAGTATTCAAATAACAGCATTAAGCTTCTACACAAAAACAGCTGGTCACAACAAACCTTTTATTACATGTTACTTGTTAGACGCTTTTATCCAAAGCGACTTACTTACTCAATACTGTGGGCAATCTCCACAGGAGCAATTTGGGGTGAAGTGTCTCAAGGACACATGCTGACTTCAGTGGGGTTTGAACCTGTGCTCCCCTGATCTGAACACCAACGCACTAAACCACTGCGCCACACGCCTCCCCTTTTTATAGATTCTAGTTGTTAAAATCTGTGCTTCGGTGGAGATGAATGATTAGATTTTTATCTCACACATCCCCACCTGGTTGAGACTTGCTGAGCTGCCTTTACCTTCCCTCTTTCTAAAACCCAGGATGTGTTATCTGTTGCAGAGATTGGCCTGTTCTGCTCTAATTACCACAAAGCCAACATGACGTTGATGACTTATCATTGCGACTGAAAGAGATATTTTGTGTAACTAACAGATAACCATCTCCACATCTCATCTGACTAAAACACAAAGATTTACTGTTGTCTATCGTGGAGGAATAAAGAAATGAGAAACTATTCACATTTAAGAAGCCGGAAGCAGAGAACATTGACTTTTCCTTCTTTAGAAAATGATTTGAACCAGTTAATTGTTGATTATTTCAATAGTTGACCACTAATCGATAGATCTTTAATCTAATTTAATCTGGAAATGTCTCTCTCTTGATCCTGTCAGCTGTCCAATGGGATTCCCATAGAGAGCTGGTTCATGGATAAGAACGACAACGAGCTGCTGAAGCTGGTGCCCTTCCTGGAGAAGTTGGTGGAGATGGTAAGATGTCCTACTGATCAGAATCTACATCACATTCATATTTGACCATGTCAGTGAATCTAAGTTGTTCTTTATTCTTCTCCTTTCATGGTCCTCTCCCCTGTGATCCTTCAGAACGAAGATGTGCGTCCGCACGTCCGAGAGAGGTTCCGGCTTCACGACTTGTTGCCCCCAGACTGATCCGACCAGTCTCTCAGAACGGGACAACAAGAAAAGACTGAAAACAACGTGCGTGTACAAAGGCCTTCTTTGGATTACAAACTACAACATTGCCATAACTGTTAAGATTTTTTTAGCATTTTTTCGTTTTTAAATCCACTGTTGCTTTTTTTTTAAACTTGAGAAAAGAGGAACCTTTTTAAAGGTCCGGGGGACATTTTCTAAATGTATAGATGAAACTACACACGCTATGAACAAGCCGAGGCTATTTCCTCTTTTGACTGCAGCTGTGGAGCTGATATCTCCTCCACTAAACTCTCTGAGGTCTTGGTGCTGGTTTAGTGGATTTAAAAAAGCCACTTGGTAAAGAGGAACTCCCCCCCGACCCGAGTCCTTGAACCCAAACCAACCCACTGGTGCTCACGCTGTTGACGCTGACAAATAACCACGCTCATTTTCAGCAGGAATGACTGGCCTGAAAATCAATCTGTGCATGTGTGTATGTTTACTCCGGGCCACACACACTGACTTGGTGTTTGACAAACCTACGATCTGTAGCCTTTAAAATCATATGCATTCCTCCGTAGCTGAGTCAAGTTTCTATTGTTGGTTGCAGTTTTTTTCTGGTAAAACTGGTGTTTCATTGTTTAAAAAAAAAAAGATAGCGTTTCAAAGTGTTTTACTTCTGTTTGTAAGATATGATGTTTTAAAAGGGGTTGTGTACGTTTTTATTGTAAGCCTTTTTTTCTATTAGGAGAACATGGGTGCGTATTAATGACAGTCCACTGCATAGTCAAACTAAATGGACTTTTAAGTATAGTTTGTTCTCTTTTAACAAATAGAGGTTTAAATCAATGTGTTTGCTCCACTGTGGTCACAACAAGGCTCTTTAATTAAATGTTAGGATTAAGAATCTACTTACCTGTAAATCTGACATATTGTAAAGGTTTGAGGGCATTCATTTTCAAAATGATCAGCGTTAATCTTTCTTTGATAATAGTATTTGATTTGTCTATAACCAGTATTGTATTTTTCTCCTAATCAAGTTTTCTGGCTAAAATCAGAGCTCGGTTTCTTTGAGTTGTAATGTGTTTTCAGTAGCATTATGACTAATGTAGCACATCTCTGTGTGTCAGAAAGTCTGTTCATATCTAAGGCCGGACGCTGTACCAGCAACATACTGTTCAACAGCTTCCTTGGCTGTTCCTCCAGATGTTTCATTTTTTTACTTTGTACTTTTTAAGTTCCCTTTTTTCAGTTTTCTGTTTAGTGCAGTTTAAAGCATTGTGTTTAAGAATGGTAACTATATGAATGTGTTTCTGCCTGACATCAGCCTGGACACTCAGACACTCTGTTTCTCAACTTTATTTATTTAATATTGAGACAAACAGTATTCCGACATGCAGATGTTTTGTTGGCATCCTGACTAAACCTCAGAGGTAAAGATGGATAGCCCAACATGACGGACATTGCCCAAACACTCGAGTTAACTTGAATTTCTGTGACAAATTGGCATGCATTGTTGAACCTTTTTTTAAGTTAAAGCAGATGTGAGTGTTTGGATTGGTTGCCTGTACAGTGCCATACGATTCCTCCATTATACCCCCCCTCCCCCCCAGATAGAAAGAGACAATCAGACCTCAAAGTTCTGCAGACACTCGGCCCCCCTCCCCTGTTATTTTCAGTGTGCTGTATTTGTTGTGTACTGTGATTATCCCCCCCCCCCCCCCCCCCCATGAGAACATTTACCGGGGGAATCGTACTGAGCCCTCACTGAATGCAGCTTCTGCTCACAGATGGTTTCCATCTGTCCATTATTCGCCTTTCTCCACCTTTTTTTTAGTTTTCCTTCTCCAGAAATAAGAATGAGTTTGTACTGAAGTAACATTTGTTACAGGGCACAATGGTGTTTGCGTGAGTAAACATGTCCGGACTATGAATGTAAATTGTACATGGGGTGAAGTCTTAAGTGTCTTTCTGAAATCCTTGTTTTCTTCACCCCTCATCAACTAGAACAAGGGATGGCAGCATGGCTCTGCCGTTCACACGTTGCAGAGGAGGCGAGAACAATATGCAGGAAGAGGAAACATGTCTTGAAGTCCCCTAAAGTTAGCCCCCCCCCCCCACCCTCAGCTCTCCCTATCCTGACTGCCATCTTTCAGAATGCAAGCCTCGCGTAGAGAGTGCGATGCCGTCCCCTCGGTGAGACCCTGTGTACGATCAGTTGTTTGTGCGGGCGGGGGGGGGCGTTTGATACTTCTCACTCAGCTCATTTTAACGTGCATTACCAGTTTATTGTACACTGAGTGTTGTACAATACATGCAGCTTCATGTTTAAAAAAATCCTTAAAGTAAGGAAAATCTTTTGTATTTTTGATTTCAAAAGGCATGTCATATCTACTTTTTAAATGTATTAATGAAGATTTAACTTTACATCAGATGGAGTGTTTTCTTTTTTCTTACAAATATCTGTATGTTTAGTTTAGCGCAATGTCACTGAACTGTTAAACTTAGCATGTAGAGAAAACCGCTTGCTTTGTGGGAAAGTCCTAAATTAAATTTTAATCATGGCACTTTTTCTGCAGAAAAGAGCAATTGTGTTAATGATTTTTTTTTCTTCCAATATCTGTTAAGCCATTTTACTTGCAACAATTGCTATTTGTGCTGAAGATGTATTTAAAATGTTTTAAGACATCTTTGTACGCCGTCAGGCTTTATGCTATTGTAAAGTGTATATACAGTTACATTGAATTTGAAAGAAAGTTTTAAAGTTAAAAACCTCTTGCATGCTCTTTGTTTTTATTTCTCTTAACTGTCTGAATATAGGGGACAATTCATTCATTCACAATGGTTTAAGTGTGGGGTCCTGTTGCACCAACTATGCTTATTAAGAGATGGATTTCCTCATTTTTTGCCAACAGAAATGGCACCACTATATGAATTGTAGTAGCATTAAAAGGCCTACAAAAGTTTAGTTATTTATTTTAATGTCGCTAATTGTTCACTTTGCATTTCACAGGCTTCATAGTGCCTTGTTTATCTTCACTTCATATTTGCCAAATAACTAGTCCAAATAGAAATAGTTTATAATAATACCCTTTTCCAGATTAGCCTTTTATCTTAACTCCTTCCATTAACTTTCCTTCAATGATTTAACTATTTGATATTAGAGTTTTGGTGTATTTTAATTGGACTCTGTGATTTAGATGATTTTATTTAATCTCTAAATTGTAGATTTAAGGGATTTTAATTTAATGTTTAAATGTGATTTATTAAAACTTGAATGAGTTTTCCATTTGAAGACAATAAGGCAATATAGGAAACCTTTAAAATACATCATTATGTAGGAGCCCATTTAAAAATAATTGACTACCTTGTAGTTAAGTTGATTTGATACGATTATGTATACTTTTTTACAGGGTTGTTCAAAACATTTCTAAAATATTTTTGTTTGAATGACCAAATGCTCTTTAACCGTCTGAATGACCACCATCATTGGGAGCTGTAGTCCGCAGTAGTATTTTGCAGCAGATGTCTTTAAAAATCCTCCAGCTGTCAGCCCGGAGTCTTCTCGCTCCTCTGACAGGGCTCGGGTTTCAGATGCACGACTTAATCAACACACTCCATTAATAATTCAGCACCGATGGCCAGGCTTCTTACTGAAATCCCTTCTGCATTTCACAGCCCTCATTTCGCACCTACCTTTTTCCCTTTACCGGTGTCCTTAATTACGCCGTTTCAGAGCTGGGGTAGAGTTGCAGGTAGAAGCAGAGGTGAGGAGCTCCAGAGAGCACAGTGGCCTGCTGGGAAAAGATGAAGTTTGAAGGATGAGCGACGACTTGTTGAACTCTGTATAGTTTACCAACATGAAGCCTTTTCTCAATCTGGTTCTTCCTCAGCTGAAGATCTCTACAGGATAAAGCAAAGTTGTTGTTTTTACCATTATAATCTGGACTGGACGCCTGCTTGCACCTTTTTGCATGAGAGCTATTACAATGTGGTCGACACCAGCTGCATGCATGCTGTGCATCCTGTTTGGTAAGTACATTACATTTCAGAAAGATTACTGGCTTTTTTCTGTAAAAAAATAGCAAACGTTTCATCTGAGGGCAAAATTAGGTGATATTAATAATGAAAAAGTTAAATTATTAGTATAAATTGTTAATATAGCTTTATTAACACAAATGAGAATATGTGCTTGTGTAAGACTGAAATTCTTACACCCTCACAATGTACATAGTAAATGTCTGGTAAATGTTTTGTTTTTTTCTCAAATCAAGAATGTTTATGTTTTTTTTAACAGAAAGTAAATTAGATAAATTGGTGTATCTGAGTTTTCAACCATTGATTCTTGATGTTGCACATTTTCACAATACAAAAGAGTAAATGTCCCTTTTTTCACTGTCGGCTCAAAAACAATTCTTTTTCCTTTTCTTTCTTTCTTTAAATCTACAGGGATCATATGTGATGTCCAGCAGGTGTTTTCACAACCCAAATCAATACAAAGACAGTCCGACCAGACACCTGACGAAGACACCAAATTAGAGGAAGACATCCGGAAAGTTATTAATCAAATCCACTCTTTGTCCAGTGAAAATGCAAACGCCCGCAGCCTCGGGGTCTCTTTAATGGGAGAGGGTTTTGACCTTAATGCATATTATGGGGCTCTGAGTAACTTATTGTCTGTATTTCAACCCCTGCTGGGAGAACAGTTCATGGATGACCTTCCCAAGATGTTAGTGTGTCTACTGTCGGGGAAAAAGGACTGTGGCCTCCAGGCAGAACTAACAAAGACCGTGACTCTGGAGTTGGGGAAGCCCCTGCTGACGTTTGTGTCGTCCCTCAGATCCCAGACATGCTCTCCACTGAGCAGCGACGGAGAGTCAAACAGCTTCATGGGGGCCTACATCAGGATGGGGGAAACAACAACGGCAGCATTAAACGGTTTCCAGCAAACATTCATAAATATACTGTCAAGTGTCCCTCTCTCTGGGAATTTGATAAGTTCTGTGAGTGGCCTCGTGGATGCAGCTGTGACCTATGTCTCAAAGTCCATGGCATCGTTACTGCAAATACCAATGGACTATATTAAAATAGCTTTACAGTTTGGAATAAGAATACCGTCATTAGACGGAACAGAGGTCTGTGAGCAAGGTAAAACATTTAAAGTGTTGCAGTATGAAAAACACTTTATTTTAACTTCTTAATGTTAACCAACTTGTTTTCCCATTGTTCTGCAGGAGATCTCAAGCAGCTTATTTTGTGGTAAGTCAAAAAGTCAGAACCTTTCATTATTAAAACCACCATGTGAAGCTTTTACCACTAGTAGGCACTATTCAGCAATCTTTTGCCAAAAACCTATTTATTATGTTTTTCTATAACAAAAATATTCTGCCACTACCATCTCATGCACGAGTAGTACATACACACATTACTTTTTTGATGGTGAAGTTCTACTGTGAGCGATTCAACATTTGAGCTCTTTCTAAGGCAAACAATAACCAAACATGTTAGAAAATATACGTTTCTTTGATAAAAAAATAAATTAAAAGACTAGAAAATGCAAGGCATAATATAAGATTGCAATTCACAAGGCTCATTTTCGCAAGAAACATCAATCATTGAGTCTCAAATTCTGTTATACTCATCATGGTTTATTTACAACACAATGAAATGCGTTTGTAGTCCCTTTTATAATAAATAAGGAAAACAAAACTATTCTTTATGTTGGTGGAGTCCATTACATTTCCCTTGATTTCACAGAGAAGTATAATACATATAAGCCAAAGTAGCTACCTGTATTCAATTTAGAAAATCTTGTTTAGAAAGAATCAATATAAATTCTTAAGTTTCAGTTTTTCTTTTTTAGGGGAATAAACAACAATGTGACCTGGTCCTTCGGTACCTCCATCATTGACATCCTCATGGAAACCTTCCTGGCTCCAGAGCAGTCTCTGTGCACATATCCAGGATCAGAGTGCCAGAACCCTCCCAGCGTCTCCTTCCAACGCAGCGCCTCAGAGACAAACGACAACACCAATAACAACCAGGAAATCCTGCTAAAATGTGATCGCCACAACCTGGCCAGGCTCAACGACACGCTGTGTGCCGACATCCTCACGGGGTCCAGAGCGGGATCCACATCTGTGCTCACATTTTGTCAGGCGCTAAGCTCCCTCAGCCCTACCCAGATAGAGCAGGTGTGGAGCAACACATGTTATGTTATTCAAACACTGGCATCTCCACTTCTCAGCCGGTCATCGGACTGCAGCTTTGGGGACGCCCAGCCTCCCCGTGCCGCCAACCCTCCCTCTGAGACTGCCCTTCCTTCTCCATCTGCACCTCATCGAGTAGTCAGAGATGCCTCCAACCTCAAATTGCTCGCCTGCAACTTTGACAACTGGTTTGAGACTGGGATGGTGGACGCTGTCCTGGTGTCCCTGTGCAGCGATAACGAACGTGAGGCGTTTGTGAAGCAGGTGTGTAACAATGCTTTGTTGATGAGGAAGCTGCTCTCAGACAAGATGAACATCTGGCTGTATGGATACTGTGCCAACTCCTCTGCAGAGCCTGGGTACTTGGTGAGTCAGTTCTGCGTCTATGAGAGTTGGATCGAGCAGTCCTCAGTCGTGGTGGACCCGCCCTTACTGGAGTTCTGCTTTAGCTTGGACCGGCCCAGGCTGACCCAAATCATCTGTGAGCACACTGGATTCTTCATTTTTCTATTTTCCAACCCTGACAATGGACCGTTCATGCCTAACTGCACAAGCCTGCCCCCTGCACCACAATTCCCAGAGATGGGTCCATTGATGTTAGATTCTTGTCGTTACTCAGAGTGGCATGATGTGATGCAGATCACCATTGAGGTTTTGTCGCAGTGCATCCTCCAAGATAACATTGCTTTCATCAGAGAGGTTTGCTCTAACAAAACGTTTCTGAACAGCCTGCTGCGCAATAAAGAAAATGCCTGGCTTGAAGCTCACTGCAACTCATCTCTCACCGTTCTACCCACCGAGCCGACTGAGATCTTCGACATCGTTGGCTGGTGCGAATACCAGACCTGGGGAGAGCGGGAGGTGGATGATTCAGTAATCGGCCTCTGTTGGCAGCATGACCAGCTTGCTTTTCGGGAGAATGTCTGCTGCAAGGCGTCTGTGTTGAAAAAGCTGTTAAAAAACTTTCAAAACCAATGGCTTACATCATCCTGCACATACATAAAGGAAATGGAGGAAATTACAGTGTGTCCACAGGTGTGTATCTTACCTGTCTATTTGTATATCCATAGTCTAATCAACTTGCATGCACAAAATAAATAAAAAAAAAAAGTCCCATTTCATATTGCCAGCACACTGTCCTGAAAAGTAGAAGAGGCTTTAATATGCAAACAAAATTGATGTTTTTCATCTGCAAAAGGTGAAACTATGTGAAAGAATGTGACACATGTGAAGTGTAAAGGTTATTTTAAATCAACTCAGTGGTACAGACTTTGTATTCTGATCTTGCATCCACCCTAATCTTTTCTTTAGATGTGCAGGTACTCTGAGTGGACCCGTCCCATCATCGTGGACATGACTGTGCTGGCTCTCTGTGCTGAGATCGACAAACTTAACTTCACGTCCAAAGTCTGCACCAATGCCACGATACTCCAGAACCTGTTGGCCAACCAGGACAACACCTGGTTAATACAGCACTGTGCCAACCATTCAGTAACAGGGATAGCTCCAGGAACAGTCCTGCCTGGGTTCAAGCCTGCAGAGCAGTGCCTGTACGCCAGCTGG